CCTTAAAGTGACATTAAACCCTCAGATTTTTTAACATAAAACAATACTGTAATGTGTGCCTTACTGTAATCCATGGTTGTTTCCCTCCTCTTTGCTGCTCTTCCTTTTAAATCCGTATCTCTTCTCATGCTGGGGAGAACTTCTGTTTTGCAGCAGACTGCCTTGTCTCTGGAATGGATACATGATGTCTGTGTGCCGGTTCACAACCTGAGCCAGCACTACAGGAAGAGGCAGTCTGCTGCAAAACAGAAGTTCTCCCCAAGCATGAGAAGAGATAAGGATTTAAAAGGAAGAGCAGCAAAGAGAAGGGAAACAACCATGGATTACAGTAAGGCACACATTACAGTATTGGTTTATGTTAAAAAAATCTGAGGGTTTAATGTCACTTTAAGGGAGAATTATGGGGAGAGTGAAATATACTCATCCCCATAATTACAGCCGAGGTGGGACACTGAAGCTGTCACACTTCGGCTATATTGATCGGGTACTGAGCAATAACTTACCAATGACCGCTCAATTCCCGATCTCCCGGCAGAGAGAGCCAGTCTCAGCTCCCCGCAGGGACTCTTCCCTCCTCTCTCTGTTCCTCCAGAGGCAGAGCCAGCTGTCAATCAAGCAGCAGGGTGGATCCCGACAATATTGTTGGGATCCATCACTGGTGCAGCGAGGCTCTGTGCTGTTTGCATATAGCGGGCAATTGCCCACAATATGCAGAGTTTTGAGTCACAGGAGGACATTAGTATATGTCCTCCTGTGACCCTAAATAGAACTATGGGCAAAAAAAAAAAAAATTCTCTTACGGAGAACAGCGAACAACACAGTAAAAACATCACCAAATCTCATGTTAAATATCCTGAGACTAGCAGTCAGAAGCAGCAGTGCCTGAGACCCCACACTGCAGATATACATCTATAAAGCTATAGGTACAGAAGTGCCTGGACACGCTCACATACCAAGAGGAGCTCTACTATTATTCAGAAGCAAATCCTTATTTTTTGAGTTCATGTCCACTTTAAAGTGTACGCATAGTGAAAACCTTTTATGTTTTATTTCGATGCAGTAGGCAAGATTTAAATCCCGTCAGTTCTTTTTTGCTGTCTTTGTTCTAATAGGGAGATTTCTCTTCACTTTCTGTCCTAGAGATGAAACAGGAAGTGAGAAGAAAGCTCTACCAAATCAGGGAACTTCCCCTCTTAGACAGTTGTCACTGGAAGAAGGGTGCCCAATGTAAGATTTTTACCACTCTTTAAATGTTAGATTACCCCTTACTATTTGTCTCAGTGACAACGGTCACCAGGAGAGGATACATCTCCCAGGGATGGGGGGACACAGACTGCAATGAAAACTTTCCAGTGGTTCTAATTTTTCTCTTTATTCTACCCAAAACTATACATACACTTTACTGTTTCCATGTATTCTGCCAGATTAGAAAATATTGAAGCCAGAGACACACAGGCAACTAGCATTTTTTGGATGATGTAAGCAATGATAGCTTAATTATTTCTCTAGGTACAGCTTTACTGAAAGGCCACTGGGTGCTTTATACAAAATGAGAACCAGCCAGGCACAGCTGGGAAGATTCTGTACATTGTGTACATTGCTGTTTGGCACAGCTGTCAACTGATCACTTAAATATGTAAAGGTTCCTTTCAGATGTTTCTGATAAGAGGCTGAAATGCCTCCGGTTTTGCAGCTTTTTTCCACCCTCCATGTGTAGGAAAGGCTAGAACTCTATTCTATAATCTTATTTCATATAGTTACCATTTTCATCATGGCCACTGGCCTCAGGCGTCCCTTGCCTCTGGTCATCCTCAGGAGCTTCCGGGTAGATGACAGCTACATCGCTCTGCTGAAGGAACTCTTCCACGTTTGGATCATGGTTTTGTTCATTTTCAACATCTGAATCGCATTCTTCATCATGAACTTTAATAAATAATGCAAATGAATTAGTATTAGTGGCCCTCTGTTGAAGAATTTTTGCAGATTCACACAATAATAATAAAAAAAATAACCATACAATTATAATGGCATGTAAAATATTTTCTTCCATATAGTTGGTAATATTATTTCTCCCATCCAACATAGCTGCTCTACATTGGGAGGTCACATTTTTAAATATGAAGTTATTTGCCTATATGGTGACATACTCCTGAACTCTGTGTGCTCACTAACATATGTCCCACCCTCCACCAGTTCTTGCAGCATAGAATTGTCAGAACATGTAGGACTAAAGCCACTTTTTGTTTGGCCAAGTTAAACCATGTTTTATCTCACTTGTTCCCTATTTTCTCTCCCATTTCTACAGCCAGTACAGGCAACCTCACTGCAAGCCTGTCTTTCAACCTACAGGAAGTGACCAGGGGATTACAGAAATGTAATACTTATAGTTTATTATTATTATTATGATAATAATGGTTATAGGCAATATGTCCCCTAAACTTACTAATAACACGGAGTACAAGCAGGCACTACAAGGTATTGTTCAGTAGGTTTTCCTCTTCTGTGCACCAGGGGAGTCTTCCAAACTCAGTTGTGCACTAAGTGCAACTCTGATTGCTGCCATTTCTGAGCAATGCTCTGCCCACTAGCCACTGAGTTTCTCAGCAGCCAGTAACAATGCCCTCATTAGATAGAGGGATGGTGGGGGTGGATATAGAAGCAAACTTAAAGGAGAACTATGGGGTTAAGGCTTTTCCCCATAGTTCTCCTTAGGGTAACGGGAGGACACAAACTAGCGTCCTCCCGTCACCCTAGGCTCAGTATACCGCGAGCCTAGGGTGTCATTTAAATACATTTGTTTTCGGCATTCTCTATTGGACAATGGGGTCAAATCAGCAATCGTTTTCGACTGTAGTGGCGGAAAAATTTAAAGGAGCAGGATGAAAAATCTTTCTCGACCAAACAAAATTCTAACAGTAAATATAGTTTTTGTTCAAGAAACTCCATTAATTCCAAAATCAAATCTAAATTTCAAATCACATTACCAAATGATCTGATGAAAATTCTCTTCCAAAGTTTGTTTGAAAATCTACCAGTGTACAGTTAGCCTAAAAGCAGGGACCTTCCATGCTAGATATTTTTAGACAATTGGGTCACTTTATGAATCCGGGGATCATGTACTGCATTTGAAAACAATGAAAAGGACTCAGAAAGATGGGTGCATGCTGGAACAGTTTAAATACCCTGCCAATGAATGATTCTTCTGCATGCATCTGTATTGCAAGATTTTATTCTCTAATCCAGAAACACCAGCCAATAAATCACAGATGCACACTAGAAAATTGCTGTCACATACAGGAATCCTGACTAATAGGAAACACTCCAGCCAGACGTTACTGTAATATTATAAAATTATGATGTCATTTAGGTCACACAGCCTTCTCATTTACTTGTCATAAAGATGAAAATGTGCGGATTTAAGTAATCATTATCGAAATTTAGCAGGAAGAGTCAATTACCTTCTCAGAACCCTTTGTGCTAAAAAAAAAAAAAAAAAAAAAAAGGAGGGGCGCCCCCTCAAAATGAAGAATAACGTTAAGAGTGTAGAAGACCACCCTTGATGTTCACATTCTTCACTTTAAGGCCTGGTTCACACCTAGGGGAGTAAGCTGTTTTTGTTCGTTTGCGCAATTTTGCTTTGAAAAACCGTGCGGTTTCAAAAGCATAGAGATGTCTATGTGACCAAAACCGTGCGATAACTGCCCGAAAATAGCTCTTGCACCTTTTTGAGGGACAGGTGATTTCACCTGCGCATTGAAATGCAAATGTGTGAACAGCCTCCATTGCTTTTAATGTAAATCAGTGTTTTGTGTGATATCGCGCAGCTCAGTCCGTGCGATAAATGGCTTGGTGTGAAACAGGCCTCAAGGCCCTTAAGGCTGCATTCACACTTAAGCGACACCTATTAGGCGCCTTTTATGCAGTCTTTTTTTGTGTTTTATGCGTGCAGATTTTGCCAGTCATATGAATGGGCAAAACACGTGTAAAACGCGCACACAAAACTGTGCAAAAATTATTAAAACGTGCATTTTCTATTGAATTTTTGGGGACAAATGCACTGAAATCTGCCCCAAGTAGCTCATGTACTAGTTTGTGCGACAGACATTTTTCTGTTTGCGACAAAATGCAAAAGGTGTGAACAGGGGCCATAGAAAAGAATGGGATTTCTGGGGTTGAGCGTCTTGTCGCGCTGAGTCAGCTGTGACAATACGCCTAGGTGTTAACGGGGCCTAAATGTTGCCTCTGATGGAGCAGAAAACGGTCTGATAAATTCTCCAGTAAAGTCAAAGAGAAGTTCCTTTGACCTCTGTCTAGACATTAGCTGATGGAATAAAAGAACTTGGCTATGAAGTTTTCACAGCTTATACAAGTTATACAAGCCTTCCCTCGGCAGTATGCCTCTAGGTACAAGTCAGAGAACGCTTAAGGGGCTACTAGTGGAGAGAAGATGCTGATATCTCCTGGACATGGCAAAGCTACTCCAAACTGCAACCTGCAATTACATGCCATTGCATGCAGACCACGGTGTGCAGGCTGCAGTGTTCCACAGAGTCCTCTGCTTCACACAGCCTTCTTTTATTTTTTTTATCTGCATTCATTTAATTTCTAATATTCCTAAGCAAGCACAACATTCACCACTGTGCATTAAAAATGTGTGTGTTGTTTTTTATCAGCAGTTTGGACATGACAAGGCTATATCACTGCATTATAATTGGGGTCCTTATTGTGTATGGCATTTAAGAATTTAGATTTTCACCATAAAGTCTAAAACTGCAAGACCCATCAGTGTAGAATCAGACCTAATCACCTTCTAAGGGCCTTATCACCTCTTATGAGTTCCGAGTAGGCACTGGGGGACTAGGCACTTTTAAAACTCTTTATTATAAGGACACATTTTAAAACCTCTGCACAAGCACAGATGGGCACTACACACTGAAAGCAGAAACATTGATCGAAGTACCTGTGCATCCAATCTCATCAGCATCAGGCCCCAGGATTTCATTTGCGTCTGTTCCATCTGAAAAAAAACAAAACACATTTAAGTCATTTGTGTCACTTGTTTCTGATTATATTTGCAATTATATATGAATATGGAGGCAGCCATAGTTTCTCATTTAATCTTTTAATTCATGGCACCCAACAGGTTCTTTTTTTATTCAAAAGAACTCAATAAAAAACTGTATTTTGCTAATGTAAAGGGTCAGTTTTAATGATGGTTCCCTTTTAACTTAGTAAAGCAGCACTAGAGAATGATTACAGTTTATGAAACGATGGTTACAGTGGATCTACAGCTGGAATGCTAGAAGTCCAAGACCACAAACCCAGCTCTTCCAAAAATATTTTGCAGCAGCTAAAAATAAATGATTTTTAAAATTAGTTTAAGTGCAATCAAATTTTCCATGTGATATTTGATTTACAAATGCGGTATCATGCCACAACCATGGGAAAAATGCCTTTGCTGTTTTTGCCAAGTACGTAGGTTACCTAAAAAGTGAACACGCATGCCGGAGCTGAGAACAGACTATTGCTTGGCTTCCTGCTATTCTGGCTGGGTAGAATAGGAATTGCACAGGATACATATAGAAACTTTTACAGATATAAAAGGTATGAAAACATTACCCTTTAAGCTAGCTTAGTGGGCTCTGGCTACTTTATCAATGGTTCTAAGCGTCACTCTGGCATTTATCTTGTGCACCTGGCTGCCCTGTTTAGTACACCTGGCTAAAGACATCAGTAGGATGTGCATGTCCGAACAATATCCTTCAGGCATAAAAATGAATCCTTGGCGAGAACCAGTGCTCATATTGGTGCTATGGATTGCTATGGAATGTAGAGAAGTGGAGCATACTGTTAGCCTTGGTGCCAAAATACAACAGTAATCAAATTAGGTTTTGTGACTTATCCAACTGTTTCTACAGCTGCAGAGGGGAAGGACAATGGGCTAGCTTGAAAATGGCTTTAAAGGCTACAAATTGTCCACTAGCTGAAAGGAGAAAACTTAGTGGTTCTCGTACTATTCTTTGACATTTTTAAAGTTGATCTAAACCCTAGTAAAAAAAAACTAATGCAGCCACCACATCTAAGGACTGGATAGCTGCTGTGTAATATTTTTTTGTCTTTGGGATCAGATATGCTTTAAAGACAAACGTAAAGGTTTATTTGGTTAATCACATCTATGGGATCTATGGGATGAGCACTTTTTATAACGAGACTGCAGCAATAAATAAAATTGCTAGACCTCCAGTGGTAAATCCTATATTCTGGTACAAAGGACAAGGTTCACCACTCTCTTTCTCAGACCCTTCCAAATAAGTGTTCTAGCTATGAAGGCAGACTGAAGACTTAGCTGCTCAGCTTTTTTTTACCTTGAAGCAGCAGTAATCTCAGAAGTCTAGTGAAGTCAATGCTCCTGAGACAAGAGTTACTTTGTAGTTCATAAAAGGTTTTCCAGGACAGCGTTAAAATCTTTCCACTTACAGATGAAAACTTAAGGGATTACTATCCCTTAGATCAATAACTAGTCCAGGAGAGGCTGTTTGAATTTCCAGTCCTTGTCTGCAATAAGCTGTGCAGAAGAGCACTAGTTGTAAAAGCAGATGCCTCCATTCACACACATAGAACTAAATAGGTACAGTGTCTATGGCAGCATCGCTGGTAAGGGCCATGTCTACCATAAGGTCAGGCCGCCGCCTGAGGGCGCTGCAGGGTGAGGGCGGATAAAACAGGGCATTTTGACAAGTACTTGTCAAAGTGCCCCGATGCTTGCGCTCTGTTTTTTCCAGCTAAGTTAGGACCCCACCTGGAGCTCCTCCCACCGGAGCAGCGCTGACTCGCCGCTGCTCTCCTGCACCGAAGGTAAGTGAAGAAAATTTTTTTTTTTTTTTTAAAAACTACGCAGAGGCCCAAAACCAAATCAAAACAAGAAAGCTGAAAGGAACAAAGAAGAAAAAAAGAGGATGGTGTGCGGAGGAGGGGGAATTGAGGAAGGGGACAGCAGCCAAAAACGTAAAATACACAAAAAAAACCACAATCACACAAATACCATTCGACCCACAAGCACACTTTTTTTTATTTACAAAGCCTTCTTTTTCTTTTTGTCTTATTTTACTAAATGCAGCTTACATGCTGATAGGGAACAGGCCCAGCACTACAGGGGGTTGGGGAGGGGATTCGGGTGGGGGCGCATAAATGCACCTCCGCCTGTGTAGGCAAAAATCTTAGCACCGGCCCTGCATAAGGTTCTTGTATACCAACCACAATCTTATCAATTTCCCTTGTACTCTTATTTTCTGAACCCTTGTGTGAAAATCCAACGACAAAGCATGTACAAAAGTTGATGAGAAAAGGGTTGGATCCTTCTTGAAAGGATGCATCATTCATTACTGCCTAGAACAGCATGAATGCTAACTATAGCCCTGCCTAATCCAAGTCAGCACGGCTAATTTGCGGTAAGGGTTGAGGCTTTAAACCACTATCCCTGTGGAAGCTTAAACATATTTGGGAAGAGCAATATTTTGAAGACAGCACACCTTCATTAACCTCTTATCGTCCGCCTGTTGTAAAAAAACGGACGGACGGCACTGCAGCATTGGCGGGTTGCCGTCTCCAGAGGGCATTTTTTTTCTGCTTGCGCGCGCCCCCTAGCGGGCACGCGTGGGCAGAAAAGTTATTCATTTCAGTACAGCGCTGCATGACGGAATAAATGTCAGTCAAAGTACCGCAGCGCTGAATACTGAAAAATGGCCTGGATGGGAAAGGGGGTTTAACACCGCGGATGTCAACTGGTTAAAGTGATATTAAAGTTTCAGGGTTTTTTTTATGTTTCCATCTAAGAGGCCCACTTTTTTCATAAATCTTTTCTTCTTAAAAATTTTTTAGTTCCTCGTTTTCTTAGTGGGTCCACGTAGCACAAATCCCCCCCGCCCTCTGCACAGGTGCCGCGGTCAGCTAAGCAGCTGCTGTGGAGGTACCCCTGCGTGCTTGTAGCTGTGTGGGTCCATAGACACACACAGCCCTGCGGCAGGCCAAACCCCTTTTCTCCGCCCAACAGTATCCTCTTCATCACTTTGGTGCGGGCGGCTGTGACAGAGGCGCAGTGACAGGTAAGTATGTGGGGGGGGGGACAAAGGTACTGGAGGTACTTGGCGTTTTTGCCTAAATGCACAGAATGCAATAAGGTAAAAAATGCCCAGACTTCCAGACTTTAATGCCTCTTTAAGTGAAACTGAAGTTGATGGAATCATCATAGCCGTTATCAAGTATCAGCCAATGTTTAGGATAAGCAGGTCCCCTTTCTCAAAGCAGAGTATTCTGTAAAGAAAGCTACTTTTATATTTGATGGTTCCATACGTCTTAGCACTTCAGCATCACACTCACCAGATAAGGTGTTAGGCCACATGGTGTGCAACTTGAACAATTTATGACTTGTGTTTGGGAATTATGTTTCTCAAGAATTCTTAAGCAAAGCAAGTTCCCTTCTTTCTTGATAAAAGTGGAAATTCCCATAAACAAAAGTTTCCTCATAAATGAAAGGGAAAATAAAATACATGTTTATAAATAAACCTAAAAATCAAAGGGTACTTTCCCATGAGTCTTGAGCTGGTTCTTGGCGTTTTGTTTGGTATATTGGCACTAATATTGGTGAGACATCTCCATAGCATCCCCACTCACCCTAAAGCCATACCAAAAAGCTATTTTTAAAATGTATGTGCAGAGTTAAAGGACAGCTATACTTTAAGGAAAATGTTGTTGTTTTTCTCCACTCATAACACCGAGCTTTAACAAAGCTTTGCTTTGGACAGCCTCTTTCAAACCAACTTTCGGTATGTTAGCTCAGAATAGCCGTTACTCTGCACAGGAAGAATGGACATAAAAGATTACATCTGGACCCCATTTCCTTCTCCGGCCATTGCAAGCTAACCAAAGGGTGTATGTAGAGAGAGGGCAGCACCAGAGAAAGAAGTTTTCTATAGCATCATCTTAGGCACCCATTGCCATTAAACTCTTTGATGATGAGGGCCAAGGAGTGGTTATTGGCTGTTAGAACAAAAATGCATCTTTCTTTTGAGTACTATGAAGTGCAGTCCAACTTGCACAGGTTAAAAATGGACGCCATTTTAAATGTTGGAAGTTGTCATACTACCAAGCATGGAGTTGGTAATAATTTTTCCCAGGGAATATGCTATAAAGCCTAAAAGCTTGATGCCAATTAATGTGGGCCAGGCATTGCCTCTCGATATATTCAATATTTTCATGAGAAAACTTTTCTTATGAGAGAGTCTTGTGGTCTTATCTGTGTAGGCGAGGAAGGCAAACAGACACCTTGCACACCTGCTTTGAGCAGAGAGGCAAGTTATCTAATGAATGATCACTGCAGTGTGGTTACTGAGATATATATATATCTATAAGTGTGGTTTAATATCTACAGTATCTTTACAACAGATGGGCCTATGTTATTGTACCTGTACTAGTCGCAAAGGTTTTTGGTAACTAAAATAATCTCATTGATTCGTCATACAAAATGTTAGCATGAGATATCAAGTACTTGATTTTCTTGATTCCTGTAAAATGTCCTCTTGTATAATACAGTGTGTGCACAATTATTAGGCAAGTGAGTATTTTGACCAAATCACAATTTTTATGCATATTGTCCTAACTCCAAGCTGTATAAACGTGAAGGCTTATTGGATTTGAGCATATCAGGTGATGTGTATTTGGTAATGAGGGAGGGTGTGGCATAAGGAGATCAAAACCCAATATCAAGGTGTGCATAATAATTAGGCAGCTAAGACAAAATGGCCAGGAGGGTGTGGCCTAAGGAGATCAAAACCCAATATCAAGGTGTGCATAATAATTAGGCAGCTAAGGCAAAATGGCCAAAAAAAAGGAGATCTGACTGAAAAGTAAAAAATGGTAAAAAGTCTTTCAGAGGGATGCAGCACTCTTGAAATTGCTCAGAAATTGGGGCGTGGTCACAGAACCCTCAAACTTTTTGTTGCAAATAGTCAAATGAGTTGCAAGAAACGTGTTCAGAAAGAAAGACGCAAATGAACTGCCAAAGATTTGAGAAGAATCAAATGTGAAGCTACCAGGAACACATTATCCTCCAGTGCTGTCATATTCCAGGACTGCAACCTACCTGGAGTGCCCAGAAGTACAAGGTGTTCAGTGCTCAGAGACATGGCCAAGGTAAGGGAGGCTGAAACCCGACCACCACTGAACAAGACACATAAGTTGAAACGTCAAGACTGGGCCTTAAAATATCTGAATACAGATTTTTCAAAGGTTTTCTGAACAGATGAGTTGAGAGTGACTCTTGACAGAAGAGATGGATGGTCCCGTGGCTGGATCAGTAACGGGCACAGAACTCCACTCCGACGCCAGCAAGGTGGAGGTGGGGTACTGGTGGGCTGGCATTAACAAAGAGGAGCTAGTTGGACCTTTTCGGGTTGAAGATGGATTTAAAATCAACTCCCAAACCTACTGCAAGTTTTTAGAAGACACTTTCTTCAAGCAGTATAGCAGTACAGGAAAAAGTCTGCATCTTCCAAGAAGACCATGATATTTATGCAGGACAATGCTCTATCGCATGCATCGAAGTACTCCGCTGCGTGGCTTGCCAGTAAAGGCCTTAAAGGTAAAAGAATAATGACATGGCACCCTTCCTCACCTGACCTAAACCCTATTGAGAAATTGTGAGCTCTTTTTAAACAGGAGATTTACGGTGAAGGAAAACAGAACACCTCTCTGAACAGTGTCTGGGAGGCCGTGGTTGCAGCTGCACAAAAAGTTGATCAAGAAACTGACAGACTCCATGTATGGAAGGCTGATGACTGTTATTGAAAAGAAGGGTGGATATATTGGTCACTGATTTTGTTTTTGAAAATGTCAGAAATGTTTATTTGTAAATTTTGAGTTGTTTGTTTATTATTCTCACTTTAAGCCTGGGTTCACACCTGGGCGTGCGTTATATGCGCGTTTTCAGCGCGATTTTCTGTCCACGAAACGCGCATTTATGAAATCTCTATTTAGAAGTCCAATGGAAACGCTCTGAAATCTGCCCCAAAGAAACTCAAGTACTATTTCGCGCGTAGGGCGTTTTTCAGCCCTCAGCGACAAAACGCGTTGAAATATGCCCAGGTGGGAACCATGCCCATAGCAATTAATAGGATTTCACTTCTTGAACGTTTTTCAGCACTTCGATCAGCGCTGAAAAACGCCCAGGTGTGAAGACAGCCTTACAGATGAAAATAAACAAGTGAGATGGGAAAATGTTCGTTTTCCATTTAGTTGCATTAAAATCCTGCACACTAATAGTTGTCCAATAATTGTGCACACCCAAATATTTTCCTAAGACAGCCAAAACCTCACTTTTACTTTCTTAAATATTCAGGTTTGAGGTTTATTAACAGTTTGGATTGACCGAGAGCACCGTAGTTGTTCAATGAAATTAATCCTCAAAAATACAACCTGCCTAATCATTGTGCACACAGTGTATAGGTCATGTGACCAACCCTTTAGGTCATGAATCTTGAAAATGGAGACCATGTGATATTAGTGCCAAGGCACCAGCAATGCGACCCAGAGTAGAGGAGAGGCAAGTTTACTTCATTCAAACAAAAGGGTACGCATCTGACATGTGATGTCAAACATTTAGCAATGTAGCCAAATTAGAATCCTGTATTAAGCAATGAGTTAGCCTGGGCAACTCCAGTCTAGTACAAGGGCAAGTCCATTATTATTATTTCAGTTGGTTGTAGAGCCTAGTGAGGTTGGTCATACTCTGACTCTTTATATCTCTAGGGGATTGCAGTGGAGACATCTCTCATTAAAGTTCCTAGATTTGTCTCCATCTAAGTTAGGTATATACTATTACACTTTTGGGCCGAATGGAAAAAATCTAACAGAATCATCCATCCATGCCAAACAGCATGGATGGTGGAATTTCACACTGCAACTATTGTATTTTGACAGTCAGCCACGCCAGCTATCAAAACACCTGAATAGTGCCTGTGCCTGATTGGATGTAGGTGCTGTGTTTTCCACCCAGCTCTTCAGATGGGAGCCAGTGGACAGGGCATCCCACTGAAAGAATTTAAGAGGGTTCATCAAGAACCAGACAAAATTCACTTGGTGTATAGCCAGCATTAGGGTTTTGGGAATTCTAACCCACAATGGGTTGTTCCTATGGTTCAATTTTTTTAATTTATAAAGTTCAAACAGGGAGAGTCCCTGTAAACGTGTATGCATTCTAGTTCCTTTCCCTACCTCTACATCCTACTGCTGTGATAGTATAGCACAGGATGCAGTACTTGTCTGGCAGTTACAGACATGGGCAACTCTTTATTTTATTTTAATTTTTTTACAGGCTGGGTTGTAGTTTAAAGTAGCCAATGTTATGTTATTGGGCCGGCTTAGATAAAATATATGGCTTATTCTTCAACACCATCAAATGCCTAGGTGTGTGGCTGCAGGAATGTGTGGGGAGCCTTGATGCTCATATTCTATTTTCTGTGTATGCGTAAAACCTAAAAGTACTCATCTAAATAACCAAAATGTTCTTGCTGCACTGTGTATAGGAGATCAGATATGCTCCGTCTGATTGAAACCAGTTTCATGATAACATTATTTGTGCATTAGATCATCACTTGATGAAAGCACAGAAAACCTATGTGAGAAATCTTTCTATTGTCATTTTTAGGTTTGTCAGAGAATGTACAGGACAAGTTACTTTTGCCCGCTAGGGGAGACGGCAACCCGCAGATGCAGCAGTGCCGTCCGTCCGGTTTTCTACTACGGGCGGACGGCAAGAGGTTAAAAAATTACATTTTGAAGAGAATATGATTTGCAATCTTTTTGCTTTGTATGCACCATTTGTTTTATTTTAGACTACTAAATCTTTCTCAGATGTCTTTTTTGACTATATTTTTCGTCACTGCATAAGGATTGATTTACTTTATATATATATATATATATACATATACATACACACACATACAGTATACACACACTCACACATATGAGAATATGTTTATATATGAGGAAACAAAAAATATGAGAATATATCTGTATATACATACAGTATATATACACATAGATATATAGGTGCGGGTGTGCCTGCAGGAGTGGCAGCGCTGGTGGAGGGAGCATTGCCGCCCGCCCCGGCCCAGTAATAATATTAATAGTTTCCCCCCTATCGAATCTGCCACTGGCCCTACCGGCGGCGCCTGGGGCACGTGCCCCCCCTAGCTTCAGCACTGCTCCACCCCGTGCCTCCCCTTCCCCCACACTGAGCCACTATTACCTGGCTTCTCCCCACTTTTTCTATGTCCCGCAGCCTGCTCAGTCCGGGTACTGACGAGATGCCCAGCCTCCTGCAGAGCCCGCACTGTAGTGAGAGCCGCGCATTCCTTGTGCTCAGCCGCTGCTTGAGTCAGTGAGAGGCAGCCCCGGAGCCTCTGTGCCGCTTCAATGACGGCCCAGCCTGCACGGCATCAGAGGGGCGCGGGGACCACCAAAATATTCTTGCGGACCACCATTGGTCCACTGACCACCGGTTGGCGACCGCTGCTTTAAAACATATGTCAGTTTTCATTAAATATGCATTGATAAACACATTCTTGGCATGCAATCTTATGTATTTACGAATGACCTAGAATATGACATTCTACCAAGTAAAATACAACAATATAAACAAATATGGAAAACAAATATTAATTAAAAAAAAGGGTTTAAAAGTGCAAAAGATACCAATAGTGGAATCTGCAAAACCAGAGGAGAAAATCAATAAACGTTCGTATTGGCTTTAGAAACCTGCTGGATTCAGAATGTTCTCTTCCCAGGGCAGATCCCCAACTAAAAGCAAGATTCTGGTTGGCTAAATTTGACCATAGTATCTCCTCTCCTCCACCGTTACAGAGTAGCTATGTACTTTCAGAAATGTAGTGCTTGAGGTTATAGGCATATACAGTGAAACTTACAGGAAAAAGGTTTAAAAGAGTATCTCCACTTCACTGCAAATTGCCCCATTTCTGGATGGAGTGTGGCAGGGATTAATCCTGAATGAGAAGATAATCTCATTCCATGTGAGCATGGCAATGTCCAACTGGGTTTTTCTGCCAAACTACTTTTGTCATCAGAGCGAGTCCTACACATATGCCCCATGTAAAAAGCACTACAGCAGTGGGGCTAAACTAGAGCAGTATATGTAATACTACTGAAGACCGTCAGAGCCTGTGGATATCATTAAGGTGATGGTCATTAGAGACTGGATGTGTTACTCTACAGGAGTGTTATGCTCTGGACTAGCATTACAAGGAGACTGGTGGAAAGCTGCAAGAGAAAGCTAGAGATCACTGCCATTACAGCCCCTTTGCAAGGAAGTGATCTCAGTTCCACTACTGCTTATGTGGTCCAAAAACCACTTAAGTACCAGAGGGATGCACACAGTTTTTGGGCTGCAGGTTGGGCACATTAGAAAGTGCAGGTCGTGGACATGAATAATATCTACACTCTAGTGGATTCTCCAAATGGGCTTAAGAACTTGCAGCCTGATGAAAAAGGAAGCTTGTCTTAAAAGCTGTACTTAGCCTGACTTTGCCATGCTGGATGTCAGGAGGGAATTGGCCCAGCCAAGGTCCCCAACAGCAGTGAAGACTTGGCAGGGGACCAAACCCTGCCCAAAACCACCTAAAATGAAGCCATTTTTAATCCCTGCATGACACTTGTTATCGATTTTGTCGCCCTAATAAAGACAGATAAAGCCTTGGAGTCAAATGAAGAAGCTGAATTGTAAAGACAGCGCTGTAGATGCTAAATGGTATAAACAGTACACTGTACCTTCATCTTCCCAGCAACTTTGTTTTATACTTTCACTGCCTTCTGCTAATACTGTTTGGTCGGTTGGCAAGTCATCTTCTGGCACACTGCCCTCGCCATCTGCCGCATCCGTAACACTCTCCTCTTCCACGATGTGCAATTTGTCTTCATCATCGGAATCAGAATTTGCGTCTAACACATTGTTGTAACTAGTAACTGTGGAAGAGAAGAAGGAAAGGCAACTTAGTGAACGCAACTTGTGACGAGCACGTGCTCATGGCATTTAAGGCAGCAAGTGTGTACTATGAGCTCATGTGGCAAATTAGGAAGCATCTTCAATTAGCTATTCTCTCCAGACCACATGGGGAACACTAAGCTTCTAATTAGAATATATAAATAAAAACATCACAGGTAGATACTAGCAGCAAAGACATCATTCCACGGAGCTAACTTTTCCCTGAATATTTATTACACAGGAAGGTTAAAGATATAAGCAAAATTAAACATTTACCTCTTCCTTATCTTTGCTTACACCTTTGTGGACAGGAAATTACTGCAAACTGAAATGTATTAGGAATGTTTTAATTCCTGTTGATGCAGGTTTCCATAGGTTACATTGAATAATTCAACAGGCCTAGTTAAAGATGAACTCCCCCCCCCCAAAAGATATAAAACCACTTTCAGTGCACCAAATGCCTTTGAAAGCCTAGGTATTACACTGGAAAAGGCGCATTGACATCACTTTGTTGTGCAAAGCTTGTGCAGAAAGCAGAGCTGTGGAAGGGACCCAAGAGGTCCCACTATGGGCTGCCTGCTGAAAACTATAGGGGGCCAGATACAAGACCAGTCACCCTGCACATCGAGTGGGCAGCAATAAGTGGCCTTTAGTACAGGAAGCTTTTTCAAGCCGGATTACTCCACAAATCTGGAATAATTACACAATTACTGATGATCCAAAGAGCTCACAAAGCAGTCATCACTTGCGTGTGTTTCAGCCTAAATGGCCTTAGTCTTAGCTATCACTAAGGCCATTTAGGCTGAAACCTGAAAGCAGTGATCGCTTTGTGAGCTTTACTTGGATCTTTGAGAATTGTTTATTTTGGTGGAATTCATTATGTGCAAACATTTCTATATTGTTTAATAAGCACACATTTGATAGTCAAGAAGGCAACTCTTAATGGTCACGACAATGGTGGGTGGATAGGGTTTAGCTTCATGGGATAGCACTTGGCAGGAATAAAAGAATATTCCTGACCAGATGTACGAGTTACCAGGCTTTCCCTCAAGAAGGCCAACCAACTCATATGACACTTCATGCACTTGTGTAGCCTGTGTGCAGGGATTATCTTAAACCTTCAAAATGTATTAGTCTCAATAAAAAAAGTCATACCAGTAGAAAAAATAAAGTGCCAAAGGGATGCTAAGCCAATTATTTCACTTCTTCCTATTACACTAGAGCCAGTTGAATGAATCATGCAGGTATTTGAAGCATAATAATTCCAATGGATTATTTATACAGAAGAAAATAACCTTGACTAGTATTAATCCTAGCCCTGACCATTCATCTGGTGTACAGAGAACCATGTCTAGAGTTCAGGGTATTACGTTCTTCCCTTTGTCAGTGTGTTGGCCATGATGCCGTTCAGCATTGAACTGACAGAGAAGCAGGAGAATGATAGATCTGAATATAAACCCAGTTAGGACCTGCGGATTAAAAACGCGCTGCAGCAGGTCAAGATATCTTCGAGTTAAGTATAACATGGGTGCAAAAATTGAAAAAAGGGCCTCAGTCATGAAGGGGTTAAAGATGAACTCCAGGCAGATATAAAAGACACACAATAGCAAAGCTCTGTGTTTATTAAAGCATCCAGAACTGTATTTTTTTATGTGAGCAGTGCAAATATCTGAATATGATTGGGTATCAGCCTCACACAAACCCCTGTAAAAAACAGAGCTCGGCAATTCAGTTGCGCTGCAGTGTACATGTGGAGTTTAGCTGTAAATGGTACACATAATGTGCGATTCTTACTAGGAAAAGTCTGAACGAAGTTTTGCTTAGAAATGACAATCTACACAACTGCCACATAAGTCATTGCATAGGTTTAATGTGTATTCAGGTAGAACTCAAGACAGAACTTTTTTTTGGTTTTGGATAGAGAAGGGAAGGGGTATATGAACAATCCATTCTAAAGTGAAATTGAATTATAGGTAGAGCCTTCCAAGTCAGCCTCTGGTTTCTTGTATGTCTTCGATGTACCAACAGTCCAGCAGAGCTTAGAATGCAGCATCATCTGTACTGTGATGAACATCTAAAGGAATGCCAGGGGGTGCAATATTTCTTTGAGCGCGGCGATTGATCATTCCACTTAAATGCAGAACCACCTTCCTGGCACTCTAAAGTGGGTTTATCACACAATACTACAACAGCGTTGTTTACATGAGATCTTGAATAATAGCGCAACTGTAATGAATAGTTGCTGTTACACACACACCTTCTTAAAATAAAAGGCCAGCTGTAAAACCATCAAACAGCAAAACTTCCTGCACTAAAATGATATGACCATCTATGCCCCAATCACACCACGGTGGTTGTGGATCAGCGCATTTTCTATGCGGTTTTTAAAAGGGTAGTTTTGGGCGTTTTTAATTGCGTTCCAGCGCTGGAAGGCAATTAAAAACGCCTAAAACCATGCTGATCAGCGCAGTTCCATTGAAAGCAGTATGGAAACCGCGCTGATCAGCGTGGCAAAAAAAGGTCAGGGAGCATTTCGGGCGGGAGGCGGTTCCGATTGTGCAGATCCACGCGGCAGAATCCCCCTGGTGTGAACGGGGCCTTAGAGCTAATCACGAGGCCATGACGGAGGTTCTTAGAAGCAGCAACAGTGGGCATGAGCTATGCCAGTAAATTTAGACAAACTCACCAACACTAGTACCCGGCTAACAGAGAGGCATGCATATGGCAGATGTGTGTCAGTACCTGGATCCTACCATTGATCTCTGCAATGGGTGCTCTGAGGAGATAGCAGGACAAGAGTACATGGGCTTTACAGATTCTCCCAATTTAGAAGCACAGTGGCTTAGCTATTAGCACTACCGCCTTGCAGCACTGGGGGTCCCACGTTCAAATCCCAGCCAGAACACTATTATATATGGAGTTTGCATGTTCTCTATGTGCTTGCATGGGTTTCCTCCCACATTCCAAAGACAAGCTTAACCGGCTCCTGTCTAAGTTGGCCCTGTTGTGTGTGTGTAAGGTAAGGGACCATAGATTGTATGCTCCTTGAGGGCAGGGACTGAAGTGAATGCGTAGGATGTAAAGCGCTGTGTAAATTGTCGGCGCTGTATAAATATCTATAATAATACAAGGGAATTACTAAAAATCACATCCTAAAAGCCTCTGTACACTATCCCCGTACCGAGAGAAATACGGGGATTGTCACTGCTGTCCTCCTATTAAGAATGCGAGTTGCCTGGCTGCCTCTGGCTTCAATACTTTAAGTCACTGGCCTGGAACAAGAATACAGTTTAGAATGTCAGAGTGAAGTTCTAAATCCCGATCTGCATATTTCTCCCATGTCAGTGTCTCAGAAAATATTGAAGCCATTGAATCCATATGCCAGGCACTAGCATTTTCAAAAGCAGACATCAGAAATGGCAGCCTTCATCTTTTTAGGTTGGGTGTAACATGCATTGTGTAAGGGCAGCCCACACACTACAAGTGAGCACGCGGGCATTCATTTAACGCAAAGCACTGCAATGCATGCTGCCTGATATTGTGTGCTGCAGTGCAGGTGCATTGCTCACTGCTGTAACATTAGCCAGGTATTTTGAATTTGCGGTAATGGAAAGAAAAGCAAAAAGAGAACAAAAGGCAATGTCAACCAATCAAAAGTCTTTAATATTTCCACAAAATAATCAGCTGAAACCTCATTGACAACATCTCCAATTTTGTTCTCAATTTTTTTTCTAGGTTTAATGAATCAGCTCCCAGACCTGGACAAAAATAAACATAAAATATCACCATGAGAATAAACAGCGGTATGTGTGAAGCAATTCTGTTGCCTGTGAGGCTCAGCAGTAAGATCCAGGGAAGTGTTATGTGTGTGGATGGATGGCAGCGCCTCTCTTGAGCAGAATAATGACACCCATGCTACTTGGTGATGTGGCCTTGATTACACAAGCTTCCATCCCTCCATTACCCAGTGGAAGACAGCTGTTTGGAAGGCGGTCATAGCTTCGCCGGATGGAGCATTACATCATAAACAGCTCCCAAGATGAAGCCAGGGAAATACAGCACAGAATGGATCTGTAATGGAATTAGGCTCCCAGAGGTAATTCAGCTTAAAAGAAACTCCAGTGAAATATAGGAAACCTGTTATTACAAAAGCTCCTACCTGGAAGATGTTCTGTGCAGCCAGTATTTTGTGCCACCAAGAACACAAGTGTTTTACTATGACATCACCATACACCAGTAGAGGTTTGTTAGAAATTGTTCATTTTCAGTACACTTGTCCGACTTTCTACTGGTTAGTGGGGGTCTTACTGACATTCGTTTTTTAACCATAGTGACCAGGAAAAGTTGCAGGATGGACAATTTTTCTTGTGACTTCGGCACCCATGACACCTGTTTAATATGTCTGAGATACCATTCAAGTATAGGCAGTCCCCGAATTACAAACATCCGACTTACATACGACTCCTACTTACAAACAGAGACTATTACTGTACAGCAGGGGGTCCCAGGCTGCAGCCAAAGTGTACAGCGCAGCGTTCCAAAAGTTGTAATGCTACCACGCTTGTGCCGACGATGAGTGCCCACCTTTTTGGGTCTGGTTCGTAGTACTGTACGTACATTACAGGAAGTTGCCTCTTGTTAGACGTACAGACGAGGGGTGTGAAGTTTTTACTGGTGGCTGTGTCCTCATCAGAAAGATTAAATTTTCTCTCACTTCCTGTTGTCTCAAGGACAGGAAGTGAGAGAAAATCTATCCCTAGGAAGGGAATTTCACTCCTGTAAGAGTTATCATGGGAAAAAGGTGTCTCCACTGAAGCTTTATCACAAATCCTGGTTTCCTCGGCAACCCAAAATTTTTAAAATCCAATTGTCACAGGGACAGAAAGTGAGGTGAAATCTTCTGAACAGGGGCACAGACAGCAAAACAAGCGTTACAGGGGGTTAACCCTTCCCTATGCTATCCAAAACCCAAAAAAT